TTAGTTTCATCAGCAAACAATGCCACCTTAGAATTTCAGGGAGATCGTTAATGTAAATTAAAAAGAGTATAGAGCCAAAGAGAGAGCCTTGAGGAACTCATGGAGTTACAGGAAATGAAGAAGAGTGCCGTCTATCGAGGACAACTTTTATACTATGATTGGTAAGAAAGAATTCAATAGTCTTAAAGATGCTACCTGATACACAATAAGAAGAGAGCTTATGGAGAAGACCAACATACCAAACTTTATCAAAGACTTTAGAGATGTCAAGAGCAATAGACTTAACCTCTCCACATCTATCTAAAGCACAATAAAACCTATCGGTTATTACCATTAACAAATCAGCAGTAGAACAAGAAAATCGAAATCCATATTGATGATCAGAAAGTAAGTTATTAGATTCAAGATAAGAGATTAAGTATTTGCTAATTAAAGACTCATAAACCTTGCTTATGATAGGAAGTTGACTAATAGGAGGGAAGCTACATCAGGTAGGATGTGATTAGTGGAATCAATACATGAGATTGATGAAAAGTTCTTAGCAAACAATTCAGCTTTGTCTTTAGGTGAAGTAACATAATCTGAACCATACAAGAGAGGAAGAATGACAGATTTGCCTTTATTATAGAAGCTGTTAAAAATTCTCCAGAAGTCTCTGGAGCTTAATTTTTGAGATGAAATACAAGATTTTGTGATCTGAGAAAAGATAGCTTTGGCATTTGACAAAACCTTTTTACAATGGTTTCTAGCAATAGTAAACAGGCGGCTATTTTCTAGAGAATTGTTTTCCTGATAGATATGGAAGTAATGGTTTTGATTAGAAATTGCAGCAGTACAATGTGAGGAAAACCATGGGGTAGAGTGAGGCTTGACTTGGAATCGTCGAGAGGGAATAAAAGATTTCATGCCAGCCTGAATCCAAGAAATTATGTAAAAAGCACATTTTTCAGCAGAAAGACGACAGAAGTCTACCCAAGGGCCATTACAAAGAAAATTACAGAAAGTGTCCCAATCAGCTTTAAGGTAAGTAAAAGGTACGATGATGGGGAGATTCTGATGATAAAAAAGAATGAGATAACATTTTTAGAGAGATCAAACCGAGATCAGAAGCACCTAAGAGTAAAAGTGGAGAAACTGAGCACTGACTAGAATCAGAAACAAGACATAAATCGAGTAAAGAAGGTAAATCATTCGGATTGTCTATCAAGCAAGTTGAAAAGTTGTCTATTTGAGTTAGAGATTAAGAAAGATAAACATTGTGGGCCTTAATGTCTGCAGAGTCACAAAAACTAGAGCCAAGTCATTCAGTGTGATGAGCATAAAAGTCACCAACAAAAACAGAACCATAAAACTGAGTTTTAGAGCTGCACCCTCATTAGGAGATAATAGAATATGTTGCCTAGTCATGAAAACAGAGACACAAGCAAAACCTATGCATTGAATTAGGAAGATCCAGCATTCAATATCCTAAACTATACATACACCTACACCAGCCTAATAGATAAAGAGTGGGTGCAAGGCTGGTCAACAGATAGAATCTGTTTAGTCCTTAATTATTTGCCAAGGATGCTTTCTACAAGACTGTAGCCGGATTTATTTAATGTATGTATGTATATATATATATATATATATATATATATATATATATATATATATATATATATATATATATATATATATATATATATATATATATACAGGCCTCGCGATGAATAAGAACTGCGCGACGCATAAGCACGACATGTTTTTTGACGTCATTAAATTCTTTTTATGTGCTTTTCATATTTATCGTCATTAACTGCACCAATTTACTTAATTACCGCAAAACTACTTTAAATCATTTATGTAGAAATGTTATTATTTAAAAATGTTTTGGAATGTTTCGTTTTTTAAAATGTAAAAACATTTGTTTATTTTCTCGACGTTTGCCACATTTTGTCTATACTAAATGAATAAAAAACATTATAACTTAAATTTAAAAAAGATTATAAAATATGCTAATATTTGATTTTTTTTTTCTTAAATATGTAATTTAAAGTTTTTTAAATAATTATTTTTTCTTTTTAAAAAGTCAGCGAGTAATAAACTGGAAATTTTAATATTGTACGATTAAAAACTGTGCAATAGCTAATATTTTTACAAGTGGTTTTATATAATATTTATTTATTTATTTTTATTTTCATAAAGCGGTTGATAAGCACAATCACTCGTACTACTAAAAAACTTAAACGAACATTTTGAATAGATTTTTAATGTTAACAAGGAACTTTATTTCTAGTAAAATAAAATAAAATGTTAGAATAAAAACCTTATAGGTATAAAAGAAATATTTCAGCGAAAAAATTATTCTTAAAAATTATTATTAAAAATTATTCGAAAAACTATTGACGTTTTATTTTTCAGCAGCTGTTCTTGAGCACGCTTCGTTGAGTTTCGGTAACTTTTAACATAAAAGGGATCGTTATTATTTAAGTAATTTTTTTGAGTTACTTTTTACAAAAATTTTAATAACTGTACTTTTTTATTGAATCAAGTAGAACACGTTTTAATTTTAATCCTTTTTTTTTTATTTGCGCTCACCAATTTTTAAAATATTTCCTCGAAATTACTCTTAAATACTTTAAATACGTCTAACAGTTAATAATTATTTTTAAATCTATGGAATAATTTTAAAACCTAACAAACCTCCGTAAAATAATTATTTAAGTTTAAAATCTACAACTAAAAGAAAGTATTTTTGTTCAATTTTATCGACAACTTTGCTATTGCTGAATAATTTTATTAAAATGTTAGCTTAAAAGACTAAAAATTTTTTTTTAATCTGAATTTTTTCTACTTGTAAATAATGAGCATATTTAATTTTTTTTAATTCAAACTTTTATTTCAACTGCGTGCGGTTTTTAAAATACTTTATTAAATGTTAAAATAATCGTACTTCATTAAAATTCGGCTCAAAAATATCTATACTCAGTATACTCAAACAAAAAATTTTTTGCTCGACGCAAATAGCTCTAGCTACACGCAAAATCGCTCTTGGACGACGTAAAATTCACATTGCCCGACGCTTTATCGCAAGGCCTGTATATATATATATATAAATATATATATTTATATTTATATGTATATGTATATGTATATGTATATGTATATATATATATATATATATATATATATATATATATATATATATATATATATATATATATATATATATATATATACATACATACATATATATATATATATATACATATATATATATATATATATATATATATATATATATATATATATATATACATATATATATATATATATATATATATATATATATATACATATATATATATATATATATATATATATATATATATACATATATATATATATATATATATACATGGAAACTTCAGGATACTTCCTTTAATTATTAAAAAAACTTCTGTGACATTGACACGGACCAGACTTAAGAAAATGAAACAAACCAATAAAGTTGCACTTGTTTTGTCCGCTGCAAAATGGCACTAGTCAACGAAATACTGCCTGTGTGCTGTCACATGCCAACTGATTGCTCATGTTATGGCATGCTATGACTCCAGCCTCTTGAACTGTTTGATGTGGTAGTATAGTTTATTTCATTTATATATATATATATATATATATATATATATATATATATATATATATATATATATATATATATATATATATATATATTCAAATTTCAAAACATATGCATTTAAAATTAGAACAAAAAAATTTTCATGCAATTTATATAAATAAGTTAATGTAACTAATAAGATAAAATCCTAAAATGTTAAAAAACATTTGATAAATATAGTTAATAAAATAATTTTTTTAAATTGACAATATAATCAGTACTCATTTCCATTTGGTGCAAATATTCTGTAAAATCGATGCCGCAACTGATGTCTATCAGCATGGTAACAAACACTGCATAAATCATAGTTGTTGCAATCTGCACATACCCAACGCATCCCATATATTGGCTGACATCTACAACCATCACATATTGTACCATCATGTTTAATACCTTAAAATAAAAAACAAAAAATTCTATTGGGGTGTATACTTCCACAGAGGAGTATAATTGAACCCGTCATTTCAAAAAGGTTACAAGTCCATTTATTCAAACTTTTCAGGATCAACAAAAATAACTTTATTAGAAAAAAAGTCTATGGTGCTAAAGAAACTAAAGATAACAGTAGATATATAAAAGTTATACATAAGTTTTTAGAGTTTTATTTGTTATAAAAAAATAATATATAACACATATATTTCTAATTTAAATGTATGGACTTATGTCTTTTTCGGAATGAACGCTTTTTTGTATATAAAAAACCAAAGATTATCAGAATAATAATGATTTATTATTATACAAAAACATTTGTTGTTAGGTAATCATCAATTATTTCTCAGAATTCATTGTTTGCCGAAGTTGTTGGCAAAGCAAAAACCTTTGTATAGAAGTTTTGGTACTCTTCTATTGAATATGGAATATATTTTTTCATATTTTTTTCAAATCTGATATATTTTTTTCATTGATAGGTAATTTTCCAACATATGCAGGAGTACTACTTAATGGTAAGGTTGACCGGGTACCCATCCTTTGTAATAGCTGGAAATTATAACTGACTAAGTAATCTATGGATTCACATGTTTTCACTAAACCTGCTGTGGTATTAGAGAATGTGAAATGTGAAATTTTAGAAATACCAAAAGTAAGTTTTTTGTCCTTGGGTACTCCTTTTTTATAGGAATCCACAGATAGCACAAGTTTCTTATAATGGTTTAGCCACCATTTTTTTACATCGTTGGTGTGTAAATCCAATCATTTTTTTGAATGTCGTTTTGCTCTTCCAAACATTCTATCATTTGGCAAGAATGAGTGGCCTCTTTTTGGTATGTAATATTGTATCTCATTTATATTGCTATCTAGTTCAGCTACCAGTGATGAAAGTATTCAGACCGTGGCATGATTTCTGTTTTGGCCTGCACAACCATCAGAAAATAGGTGCAGTTCTTTGGCTTTGTTGCCAATATTTTTAAAAATATAATTCAGCACAAAGGTACATCATTTCCTTTGTATGTACAAAGGTACATACAAAGGAAATGATGTGGCACCCGTTTGACTTGGTGCCACATCATTTCCTTTGTGGTTTTTATAAATTTCTCCAGCAATTTTGGCTTTTTTTATTTTTTTGTGTTTATAATTTCCACTGTTTCTTATACCAGACACTCTTTTTCTAGATCTATATGCATTTTCAGGAAGTTCGCGATTTTCCATTTTTGTTACAAAAAAAGTGAAATTATGTCACTACAGTTGCGCTTTGTTTCACTTGAAAAAGGCATAAGTCTGGGACTTGTGCCATTTTCAAACAGACTTTAATTTTCATTTGCATTTAAAGTTGACTTGTGGCATATGAAAATGTTTCTCCTTCAAAGGGAATATGTAAAACACTTGAATAAATAAAATTGCATTAAAAAGTGAAATTTGAAAAAAGTGTGACTTGTGCCCTTTTTGAAATGACGGGTTCAATTATAGTTTATAAAAGTTTATAGCTTAAAATTTATTTATAAACAAACTTCAGCTCTTTTTATATTATTATTAATATTATTCCTTAAACTTTTTATTATTTATTCAAATCTTTTTATTTTTACTATTATTCTTTTTCTTTTTTATTTCTAAAAATTATAGAGCACACTTTAAAAAGTATGTACAAAAATTAATGTGTATTTGTAGTCATTTATTTTTTAATTTTGAAATAAAAAATACTACTTATATATGTCATGTATGTAAAAAAAAAAAAGAAAAAGAAAACTTATTATTTTTTTAAAATTTTTAAAATTGAAAAATATTATATTTACCACTAGGCCCTGAATCTAGTATTCTTAAATCATAATTTTCAGAACATCTATAATTAGCTGCAGTGCCATTATCCCAAACAACCACCACTTCTTCATTACTCTCAAAACTTCTTATTGTACCAACATGGCCTTCACCTCCATCTTGTTTACCCCATTTCCAATCAAGACCACGCACTATACGACTCCCAATAGTGCTGCTTAAACAAACATCTATTGATATGTTATGTGCAGTGGCCATAAACTAAAACCATTTGCATCTGATAAATAATACATAATTTATTAATTCAAAAATCATATATTCTAAATTTTTGTCTTATACTATTAAATATATAATATTATATGAATACTATATTTATATAATATTTATACTATATGATATGACTTATATCATATATACATATCATACTTTTAAATACTACTAAAACATTATATTATGTAAATACAATACTTATATTATATCAAATGACAAATATCATAGTGTATATATATATATATATATATATATATATATATATATATATATATATATATATATATATATATATATATATATATATATATATATATATATATATATATATATATATTGAAAAAAAAAGTTTTTCTTAAGTATATTAACCTAGTACTCAAAATAAGCAAAATTATATAAAAATATAAATGCATAAAAACTATTGTTTTTATGCTGAAAATGAAAAAAGTCAATATTTTTAAGTTTTTTTTAAAATAATTTTTTTGAAATGTTTTTTACGTAAATTGATTATTATTTTTAAAGTTTTTATATAATCTTTTGAGTACCAGGTTGACATACTTTAGAAGAACTTTTTTTTACAAAATATTAGGGAACCATCAAACTTTTAAGGACCTTGAGCTACCCCTAAAAATATTTTTTGTTCAAAAAAATTTTAAACCTTGTATTATATAGAACAAATTAAAGGGGTAAGAGCAGGTTTTTTTCAAAAAAAGTTGTTTTAAGAGCCACCCAAATATATATATGTATATATATACATATACAGTCAGAGCCAAACAAATAGCACACACTATAAATAAATGTTTTATTCATTTTATACTGTTTTAAACCTTAAAATATCTAAAAATAGTGATAATTAGAGAAGTAATAAGAAACATATCATTTTTGGCGCCAAATGTTTTCCTGCGTCAAATATGGTAGACCACATGACTTTTTCTGGTGACAAACGAATAGCACACGTCAGTTATTTAACATTTGACTGCAACAGACAAATTGCTAACGCTATATAAGTGATACATATATTAACATAGACCAAAATGCCATAATATGTGAACCAATCCTATGTGTTACAGAGGACTACTATGGGACGTGGAACTAAGTTAAATGCTGAAGAAGTCGCTATGATCAAGGCATTCAAGGCTGCCAATTTATCGATGTCTGAGACATATACAGCTGCCAATTTATTGATGTCATATACAATATACAAGTCGGATATACAAGTCATATATACACATATACAAGTCGGAAGGTGATTGAGAAGATTTTGAAGAATCCTGATACATATTTGGAAACAAAATCCAACCAAAATGCTTCAAAATTAACCAAGCGTGACAAATGTCACATACTACAAGTGGCTTCAAACACCGGCTGTAGTGCCCGATTGATACACGCCCAGCTGGATATTGATGTATCATTGCGTACGATACAAAAAATGTTACATGAATCCAAACATCTGAGGTAAGCGAAGCGTATATCAAAGCCGGTGATGCAGAAACATCACATGGAAAAATGTTTGGTGTATGCGAACAAATATTTGTCTTGTCCACTTGAAGACTATATTATTACACTCTCTGATTACTTAATGCCATATGGGCATGCCAACTATGGACATACGTTTGTCTTTATGCAAGATAACGCATCAATACATATGGCAAAGACTGTGATGGAATTTGTAATGGAATTGACTCCAGTTGTTTTATCTTCCGGCACTGTTACCCGACTTGAATCCAATAGAAAATATTTGGGGTTAATTGTCTCATCACGTGTATGCAATTGAAAAACAATACAGTAACTCATAGAACTGAAAATGGGCATCTAGATGGAATGGAACAAAATCCCCCAATCTTTGCTTGAAATGCTCATTTCCTCGATACCTAAACATTGCATTCAGGTTATTATGAAGAAAGGTAGAAAGATTGACTAATAGGTACGTTTCTACATTTTAGTAATCTCTAAAACCTGCTGAAATGGTGTGTGTGCTACAGGTTTGGCACATGATGTATTTTTAATTTTATACATTTTTTATTTTTTTACATGTTTTAAAAAAAAGAAGTCAATATTTTCTTTTTTTAGCATTTTATTTCTTGTGTTAAATTGTGTTAAATATGTATTAATTTTTGTGTTAAATTTAAAACATTCATACACCTATTTTATTACTAAATTATTGCATGTGGTATTCATTCGGCGCGGACTGTATATATATATTTTTTTGGGTATCGAAATGCAAACCCCCTATTTCTTTTTAAACTATCTAGACTTACTTAAATATGAAATTTTATCTTTGTACGAAAATATTAACACATGCCAAGCTGCCATCACATTTAACAAGCTAAAGCTGTGTTAAACGCGATGGCGGCAAGCAAAAAATAGTTATTCTCAGTCTAGTTTTGTTCCAAAAGTAAACAAGCTCATTTTAATAGTCCTGTATTAGACGCTGTTGTCATAGTAAATTATTTGTACTTTGTTGTCAAGGATCCAGAAATAGAGTGCATTTAATATAGCTTTAGTTTGCTCTTGGCCGGAAGAGCTCTCCAGTTTGGGTACAGCTAGCAGTTGTTCCTTTTCTCCAAATGAAATTAAAATTGCCAGACTTTATTCTTAAGAACTTCTTACATCCATTCCAGGTAATAACTTCCCGTCCCAGTGAATGGTCACTTCATTTCAGACATAATATTCTTAAAATCTGATTTTATAGATTCTGCTCTATCTTTTATACTTTTTGCAAATGCATTGAATATACAATTTATTTATCAAGAAATCATCTCAGCTCAGATCTAGTCTTTCTACTACAGTCTGAAGTATATATCTGAAGTATATATACTACAGTCTGAAGTATATATCTGAAGTATATATACTACAGTCTGAAGTATATATCTGAAGTATATATACTACAGTCTGAAGTATATATCTGAAGTATATATCTGAAGTATATATACTACAGTCTGAAGTATATATCTGAAGTATATATACTACAGTCTGAAGTATATATCTGAAGTATATATCTGAAGTATATATACTACAGTCTGAAGTATATATCTGAAGTATATATACTACAGTCTGAAGTATATATCTGAAGTATATATCTGAAGTATATATACTACAGTCTGAAGTATATATCTGAAGTATATATACTACAGTCTGAAGTATATATCTGAAGTATATATACTACAGTCTGAAGTATATATCTGAAGTATATATACTACAGTCTGAAGTATATATCTGAAGTATATATCTGAAGTATATATACTACAGTCTGAAGTATATATCTGAAGTATATATACTACAGTCTGAAGTATATATCTGAAGTATATATAGGCAGAATCCCTTATGCCTAAAATATGATAAAGTTCTTCCTTGCTCTTTTTTTTGTAGTTTCAGAACCATTTGTGCTGGTGTATTGATTGTGATGTTCTTGCGTTTGTATAACATCTTGTGTAGTAAGAGATGACGATTAACTCCAATTGTGGACAGGAAAGATGTGTAATTGCACTCCAATCTTGACCAGGCGTGCAATTTTTTTTTGAAAGCTTGACCACGGCTTTTTAGATAATTAAAAAAGTGCTGAAAAAAAAACGACAAAGAAAAAAAAATTAAACAGGCTAAACTATATAAAAAAGAAACAAATTTTAACAAAAGAAAAAAAAACCTATAGCTCTAAAAAAAAATCAACTAATATATATCTGAAAAACTAAAACTCTAATAGAAAATTATTTTTAGAATCATTTTTTTTTTTTTTAAATGTCTAAATAAAAATAATATGATTATTTTTTATTTATTTACGTATTTTTATATACCAATCAAAAAAACAATACATAGACAAATAAAAATAATAATAATATAAGTAATTTTAACTAAATATTAAAAAAAAATAAAAAGATTTTTTTAAATTCTCCTAATACAGTTGTTAACCTTTTAAAACCAACGCAACAAACTACAAAACTTTGATCTTTTCTAACTTTTTTAAAATATTAGACTAACTCTTTTAAATGAAAAAAAATTTAACTATCAATTAATTAAAAACTAACTTTATTTAAATTATCAAAAAGTATTTTTTTTTGTTTAAGTTTATTGAAACACATTTTCGTTGTTGTTTAATTAAAAATACTAACTGTTTTTTAAAAATTACATCAAAAATACTTTTGAAATAAAAGTTTTTTTAATATTTAATGATAATTTATTTAATGGTGTTTTAAAACTTTAGTTGAAAGCATTTAGCTCAGTGTAAACAAGTTTTATTAGAAAGTTTACAAAAAACTAATTAAAAAAAAATAATAATAATAACTTTGTTATGTTTTCGACTACTAAATTTATGGATTCATCAAAAAGTTTATTTAAAAAAATCATTTTTGTTGTTGTTTATATAGTAAAAAATTATTTTTTAACAATATAATATCATTCGATAATTTAAATAAATGTTTTTTATAGTAAATCTTTAAAAGTAATTTCTCGCTTTATTTACCTTATGCTTTATTTAGTGCATTTTTCAAACATTTTCAAAATTTTAGCTGTGGTTAATTTGTCGCATAAAAAAGATAAATGCGTGGTCAGGATCAGGAGTGTGATCGAACACCTTTCCTGTCCACAAGTGGATTAACACCCAAAACTCATTTGCTAATGTCTTTTTTTTTATTATTTTATTTTTCTCTGTCTTGCCCTTTTTTCTTTTTGTCTACAAAATATTAGCTAAATAAGAAGCTAAACATCCTGGTCACCCTGGCTTTTTTAATTTTTGTATTTTTATCCATTTCCAACCATCAGCATGTGTTATATCAAATAATTTATCTAAATTGTTTTGAAAGTCTTCCTCACAGTGCTTGTAAACATCTTTTTTTTTTAATTTTTTAACAACTCTCTCCAAGAATGATAAAGATCTACAAGTTTTTTTACACAGTTAGGTATAACTTTGGTTTTCTATCTACAAGTTTTTTCACACAGTTAGGTATAAATTTGGGATTCTAGCTTTTTCTAAAATTGAATACTCTAGAATGACAAGATTTACGCTTTCACTAA